TAGACCCATCAGAATTAGTTTTAATCTTATACACCCAATGACAACCAACAACACTCTTATCAGGAGGTAAAGGAACCAGATCTCAAGTATCTATCTTATGCAAAATAGAAAGTTCCTCATCCATGGCTTGCTGCCAAAGTGGATCAAGAATTGCCTTTTTATAGGAAGAGGGCTCAAAGAGACAATGAATATAAGCTAAAAAGGAAGTAAATGATGAAGAAGAACAAGAATAAGCAAAATCTGGTAGTTTTATGGACTTATGAATGCAGATGGATTGACGTGGAGGTGGATCTATAATCTCAGATGAAGTTTAAGGGGTTGTATATGAGAATAGAGCTTCAAGTGTGCCAGAAAGTAAAGTACCAGTATCTGCAGAGTTATGAGTATAAATTGATCGAATATGGGGAGATGTATCATTACCAGAATTCTCAGAAAAGGGATCTATATGAATAATATCAGATTTAGTCATGTTATGAGTAGTGGATGGAATAGAAAAGAAAGGTATATGCTCAAGGAAGACCACATAAAGTTTCTGAGTTATTGGATCAAAACAACTATATCCCTTTTTACCTTCACCATAACCTAGAAAGACAAACAACGGATCGAGAGGATAACTTATTGCGTTCTACATGAGGATGAATAATGCAATAAGTACAACCAAAGACTCTAAATGAGGAATAATCAGAGACATACCCATATAACTTTTCAAAAAGAGATAGACCGAAACTATGAGAAGATGGAATTGTATTAATCAAACTTACTACAATAAAAACAATTTCTCCCCAAAAATCACTAGGAATAAAAGCAAATAACAAGAGAGAATGAGCAGTTTCGATAATATGCCTATGTTTTTTTTCAGCAACACCATTTTGCTTAGGAGTATCTATACATGAAGTTTGGCGGATGGTTCCATCTAAGGCAAGCAATTGGAAAAATTTATTAGAGGTGTATTCCCCACCCAAATCATATCTAAAACATTTAATCACAACAGAATTTTGAGTTTTGATAAGAGCTCGAAAAGCTGTATATATCTCAAAGAATCCAGAATGATGTTTCATTAAATAAACCCAATAATAACAAGTATGATCATCAATAAAAGAGATATAATATCGAGACCCTCCAAGCTTGATTAGCTTAGTTGGATAGAGTGTGTGGAAGTTACTGCTGCAGTATTATGGTGTGATGATTTATAACCCTAAGGTGAGGAATAGGTTGTGACTGACTGCCAGACTTCCAAACTTGATTCTGTTGTCTTAACTTAGGACATTGAGCCTTCTAATGACCTTTCTACTTACAGAAACTACACTCATCAAAGCCAACCCTTGTGTAAGGTTTCTTTTGATGATTAGAGAATGACTTAGAAGGTACTGTGATTAGTACTTAAAAGTGCATTTTTATCAAGGTTTTATATCATCATTTTGCACTTGAAGTATCAATAACTCCTTAACTAAAACATGTTTTATAATAACATATCTAATAATATAAGATACCTTTAAGTTGTGGTAAATG